AGTATAAATAAAACTGTAAGCGCCATCTGTAGACTAAAACCTCATGGAGGGATGATTTTTTGCGACTCGCGTCGCCCCACCTCCGCCCACCAACCACCCACCCTTAGAGGGTTACTTCAAGTTATTCACTTGAGACAAAGATCATTCAGTGAGAGTTAAGAAGATAATGTTTTAAACTCTAGCGCCATCTGTTGAACATTACAACATCTGTTCAACAGATGGCGCTGCACTTTTATTTCATACTTGCTTAACTCTCGATGATGTAACTGGGTCTCAAGTTATTAACTTTCTGCCTGACCCCAAGAGCGGTCGTGGATACGGTCCACGCTACGCCATCTCTGGAGTATTGTTCAAGAGATGGCGATTTTTATGATTTCATATGAATATTAAGGAAGCGATCCCATGCTTCGCCATCTGTGGAGTAATTTTTAACAGATGGCGCTACCGTTTTATTTCATACGAACTGGTGAAGTTGAAGTTCCACGCTTCCATAGTATTCATATTCATATGAAATAAAAAAGTAGCGCCATCTGCTGAACGTTACTCCACAGAGGGCGAAGCATGGGACCGCTTCCATCGTATTCATGTTCATATGAAATAATACAAATAGCCATCTGTTGAACATTACTCAACAGATGGCGAAGCATGGGACCGTACCCACGTCCGCACTTGGGGTCACGCAGAAAGTTAATAACTTGAGCCCAAGATAAATCAGTGAGATTTAACAAGAAAATATGAAATAACTGTAGCGCCATCGGTGGACTACGAAGTGTAGTTAAAATGTATCATCTTAGTATCTTATTGGGCTGTGTAAACCGCTCCTCTGAAGAAAGTTAATCACTTGTGGAGTAATGTTCAACAGATGGCGCTAAAGTTTTAGATATTCTTGATATCTCTCCCGGATTTAGCTTGATCTCAAGTTATTAACTTTCTGCGTGAACCCAAGTGCTGGTGAGTGTTCTACGTTTCCATGGTATTCGTATTCATATGAAACACAAAAGTAGCGCCATCTGTTGAACGTTATTCCACAGATGGCGAAGCATGGGATCGCTTCCTTAGTATTCATATGAGATCATAAAAAGCGCCATCTCTTGAACAATACTACAGAGATGGCGAAGCGTGGACCGTACCCACGACCGCTCTTTGGGTCACGCAGAAAGTTAATAACTTGAGACCCAGTTACATCATCGAGAGTTAAGCAAGTATGAAATAAAAGTGCAGCGCCATCTGTTGAACAGATGTTGTAATGTTCAACAGATGGCGCTAGAGTTTAAAACATTATCTTCTTAACTCTCACTGAATGATCTTTGTCTCAAGTGAATAACTTGAAGTAACCCTCTAAGGGTGGGTGGTTGGTGGGCGGAGGTGGGGCGACGCGAGTCAGTTAGGCCAGTGTATTGAGCGGCCACATGTTTTACTACACTTCGTGGTTTTCCATGAGGTTGTAGTCGACAGATGGCGCTTACAGTTTAATTTATACTTTCTTAAATCTCGCTGAATTAGTATGGTCTCAAGTGAATAACTTCAAGTAACCTGTAGGGGTGGGTGGTCGGGGGCGGAGGTGGGGCGACGCAAGTCGCTAAGGCGAGTGTTTTAAGCGGCCGCAAAAAGCTTCCCTCCCCCCCCCGGCCTTCCTTTGCCGTCTCCCTCTTCACTAATTTCTTCTTTTCATTTCTTTTTCACAAAAATCCTACTGGTTTTGAACCAGGGACCTTCTGAACACTAAGCTGATGTCTTACCCCAAGACCACCAGCTCCACTGAAATTTATTTACTTTTATCTTCCTCTTATGCTACATCTTCGGTTATAAATCCAGAAAAATCAATTAACTTACTTTCTAAATCACAAAACTATACTTGGTCTCGAACCTTCCAACTCTGGTTCACTACGCCGGTGTTTTACCAATAGGCCACCAATGGCACGGAAATTTTTGACCTTTAATCTTCCTCTTAAGCTACATCTTCGGTTTTAATTCCAGAAAAATCAATTAACTTATATTCTAAATCACAAAACTATACTTGGTTTCGAACCTTCGAAATCGTGTTTACTAGGCCGGTGTCTTACCCTTAGACCACCCGTGCCACGAAGATTTCCTCTCTTCAATCTTCCTCTTATGTTACGTCTGTTGTTGTGATTACAGAAAAATCTTATTAACTAAATTTGTATTTTATAAAAATTTCTCTGGTTCCGAACTTCGGAACGTCTACACACTACTCCGGTATTTTACCAATAGGCCATCAATGCCACGGAAGTTTTTAACTTTTAACCTTCCTCTTATGTTACATCTCGTTATATAATTCCATAAAAATCTCATTACAAAAATTCTTGCGTTTTCGAACACCGGACCTTTCAATCACAACTCCAGTGCCTTACCCATAGGCTACCAGAACATCTACCCTACAACTTTCTGCGATCCTCCTCATATGCTACGACTTGGTTTATAGCTGCAGAGAAATCGTATTTATTTATTCACTTTTCAATTTCTATTGACAAAAGCCACAGTGGTCTCAAACCTGGTACCTTCACAATACTACGCCAATGTCTTACCTATGTACCACCGGATCTATACAAATTTGTTACCTTCGCCTTCCTCACATAGTACCACTTACCTCCTACAGGGACAAATTTCTTACATTGTTTCTTTCACAAAAACAGTCACACCTTCGAACCACGCAACTTCTAAACCATACTCCAGTGCCTTAACATGGATTCTACAACGAATTCCATCACTGGTGGCTTTTGAGAACACTTCCTGATACTGATTTTTTCCCAACAGACATCATATTAGTGCTGAAATATGTAGTGTGGAATTGAAGAATAAGGTGAAAAAGTGTATACACTGTAAGACAGTTAGCATAAAGCATGGACATCAATCACACTTAATGAAAAAGTGGCAGTCTCCAGATGTCCATGTCTCAGATTCTTCCCCTTAATATTATAATCGAAAAGCAAGAACTTCTTGGGACAGACTTAGACAGATGCATGGATCTAACTCAGAAGTGGAACCCAAACGAGTTGTCCATGCGAAACCCAAAGTCCACCTAACCTACACTACTTTACTTGTACTGAACAGGCCTCCATTCAACTAATCTCTAAGCAGCTCTGAAACAAACTGCAAACTCTCAACAACTTCGCTTTTAGCTATGCTGTCATTGCATATACAAGCCCCTGTGCAGGACTGTGCACTTGGATGCACAAACATTTGCACTGCAGATTGCACAGGTAGCTGCTCAAATGGATGCAAGGACATTAATATAAAACTAAGAAGTAAAAGTGATAGAAGTAAAGTTTAATAATAAAATGCAGTTTTTCGTGTTTCTGCCAATGATTAACTTATATGCTATAGAGAGCAACGGGTGAGGGAAATGTCTATCATAAACAAGTGAAGTTTTGTCTGTGCTTAATTAAGCGCAGGCACAACATTAATTAATACCATGAAGACAATAAGGAGTGGAAGTATAGCCCCACCGTTGTTGACTTGGGCCGCTTTCCTCCAGGGGAAGGAGCCCACGGTACTCATTGAATAGGAGGGTAGTGGGTCCCAGAGCCGGTCTGGACGGTTTGGAGCAGAAAGAAATCGTTTGTCTTTGTCAAGAATCTACCTCAGTGTCGAGCCCATACCTCGTCGCTATACCGACTGAGCTATCCGGGTTCCTCAGTCTTAGTCTAAACCTAACGTAACCCAACCGAACACAATTACAAGTTTGATTGAAAATCATTTTAATTACACATTAGGAGAGAATACACACTGATTTATCTGTGATTCAACTATATTATTAGTGTAGGATTTCACATTGGCAGACAGATATTGACTACATATGTCATCAATTGTCGATATTACAAACTCCGTGATTTTAGTCCGCAAGCGAACTATACCAACCGAGCGACCGCCGCTTGTCGGCAAAGTTAGTGCCAACTTTTGTGGAAAGAGGGTGTCAAGTAGTCAGCACAACGAATCCCCACAGCCGTTAATTTCGGCTTTCTAGACCGGATCCGCTATTTCCTGAAAATAGCCCTTCGATTATCATCACGAGGCTTAGTAGACCCCTTTCCAGACCCACTACTTCTCAGAAAAAAAAACTCGTAGCGCCGGGAATCGAACTCTGACCACTAGACCACAGAGGCGGTCGATACTATAACAGAAGGAAATGCGAAGGGCTGGAATTAAGTAATTTGCAGTCTAGTAGCCTGGTTACGAAAATGTTTTACCAGCACAATGTTTCCAAAATTTAGTTGTTATTATAATTCAGTGTTGATATCTTTTTCCCCAGAAAATAATAAATTATAATTTCTATAGTTCCGTTTATGTGTAAATATAAGGAGATATTTTGTGATTGTCCATGTGGCAGCACTGCACGACAGCTGTGTTTTTTGTAATGGCGGCTCAAATTGACGTTTGGAAGTGAGGCAAAGAAGTGAATTAATTAAATTAGAGTTATGATTTAATTATTGTACTTTCCGTCGATGGAAGTGATAATCTGCCCTCCTCGAATTTAGTTCCTAATCATTTGAGATTTTGTTATATTGATCGCTGTATACCAGAAATGTATTGATAAACTATTGTGTTAAAAGTAACGCTTCTTCCGTGAGCATTTAAAAAATGACGATGCAAAAGAAAAGAACCACAAACTTTCGTGAAGATGAAACGAAGCTTCTGATTCAGTTATGGGGTAGCCCGTCTATTCAGACCCAGATGAGTGCCTGTCACAGGAAAGCGCCAATAATGATTCAGCTTGCGTCAATGATGCAGCAGTATGGTTTTTATCGGACTCCAGAGGAGATTACGACAAGAATCAGAAATTTGAAGTGTATATATCACAGGATAAAGAAGACTCTTAGCACTGGCCTAATTACTGATCCTGACTGGCATCATTTTAAAGCCATGGATGCTATTCTTGGTGATGGAATGACAGCCCACAGATATAGTATAGGCATGAATGGTTTTCCAAGAAAAGAGATAAAGAAGGAAGTAGTTGACGTGGAAGATATTATAAACTCGAAGTACAGTAACGACAGTCACAGGTATTAATAAAATTTTACCTGTTTCAAACGCTTAATGATTTTGGATTAAATAGAGTAATAATTAGGTTAAATTGTGGATGGTGATACTGGTACTTCCCAGAGCTATGCTCCAGTGCATGCGTTTTTTTATTTTAAACTGTTTCCTTTACATTATACTTCGTTTTGTTAGGTTATCTTGAGTTATCGTAGTTGAGCTTAGATTAGATGAGACTATACTGTAATCTGCACTTTACCAATATATAAGCAGGCTGTAGCACATGGGTGTCTCATAAAGATAACATAGCATGTCTGACATGAAATAGATACCGTAGTGACATACAGGGAGGTCATCAGAGAACCTGTCACAGATGCTCTGACCAGTCAAGCAGAAAGGACACACTGTTCACATCATCTCATCCTGTATGAATTCAAAGTTGTGGCATAGTTGACAGGCCAGTAACCTGTACACATTGTAATTTCTCTCTAGTCTGACCCCATTAAACGTTTGAACCTGCTACCAAGAAGCAAGCTTATGTGTTAAGTGCCTGTCAAGTATAATCCCAAGCCCATGTTACTGTATCAAATATTCAGGCATTCCTGTTGCTTAGTATATAGAACCACTACATATTTTATTTATTTTATTTATTTATTTTGTCTCTATTATTGTTACAATAAGAGAATAAAGTTACAATACTTAAAATTGTTTACAGTAGATTACAATAGTTAAGATTTCATATAGTGTGAGGTGGAATCCATATTAGGTCCCCTTGGCACGTCAGCTTCCATATGTCTTACTGTACCTGTACTGGTGATAATGCTTATGGAGAATTTGATGGAATGAGGATTGGCAGGGGAAACCGAAGTACTCGGGGGGGGGGGACCTGCCCCAGCGCCACTGTGTCCATCACAAATCCCACTTGACTAGACTGCAGTGGTGGGAAGCCAGCGACTAACCGCTTAAGCTATGGTGCAGCCTTTGAGATAATGTTGGTGAATTACAGTTAGAAACATGTGAGCATGTAAAGTACCCACGTAGAGATCCCAGTTCTGTCTATACAGATGTAAATAAATCTGGACAGATAGAGTTACTAAGAGGGGAAAAAAAATCAAAATGCCAAGTGCCTATTGAAGGGAGATTGGATGAAATTAATGCTAGGCCTGAACATTCTTCTCAGAAATGCATTTGATGCCCTGCAGAGGAGGCTGGACTTTAAAGTTTCTTGTTTCAAATTTGTTGTTTCTCCAGAAGGGAATTCAAGTGCATGACAGAACATTTTATGAAGGTGCAAAGTGTGTAGGCATAATAACAGGGACCATTTATGCTGTCTTATCTATGCACAAGCCCCTGAAAACCAGCAGCATAAAATTCTTTGGGCTGCTGTCGGAACCAGGCGGTGACCTCCCTTTCTACAGTTTCATCGTCGGGAAAATGTTCAGCCGAAAGATGATGTTTAAGAGGGTTGAACAAACAGAAGTCGCATGACAGGTTAGGTTTTCACAAAGTCTGTGCACGATGGGTGCCGAGCATGCTGACCCCACAACACAAAATGCAAAGAATGGGTCTGGCATTACAGCATCTCAATCGCAAACACGATGAAGGACACGATATGTTAGTCCGAATTGTAACAGGTGATGAGTCTTGCTCCAAGCAACTCCCATTTGTTCAGCCCTCTTAAACATCATATTTCGGTTGAACATTTTCTTGATGATGAAGCTGTAGAAAGGGAAGTCACCGCCTGGTTCCATCAGTATCTAAAAGAATTTTATGCTGCTGGTTTTCAGGGGCTTGTGAAATGATGGGACAAGTGCCTCAATGTACAGGGAGATTATATTGAGAAATAAAAGCATTTTTCAAATCAGTACTCTTTATTTGTTTAAGTTCTATATCCGTTTGTAACTTACTTATTGACTTAGTCTCATACTAAAGGTCACCAGACATGAAATAGGCACAGTATACTGTATAGTGATGTTGGACTTTTGTTGCTAATAAGTGTGAAAGTGTCACAGAGTACTGTTCACAGTCAGTTCCCCAGCAGACAAAAAATTAATTTACTTTCTGAATGTGGTAGATGTACTGGGGCACGCGGTAGCATAGTTGGTTGAGGGACTATGCTACAAGCCAAAAGGTCGCGGGTTCAAGTTCCAATGAGGTCATTGGATTCTTTTTCAATTGACCTAATACTTCCAGCTGCACTGTGGCCCTGGGGTTCACTCAGCCTCTAACAGAAATGAGTGCCAGGAATTAATTAAATAATTTTCCTGGGGAGTAAAGCACGGCCGGTGTGTAAGGCTGACAACCTTACCGCCATCTTTGAGCCGATTGTCTAGAAAATGTGGGAGCCTCGATGTCTCACAACCCTATAGGCCTTCACAGCCTGTTACAGGGATAGCTTTACTTTTTTTTATGTGGTAGATGTACTAGCGAAGTGTATTCATTTGAGTCCTATGAGTATTGGAAGAGTGAATACTGCAAACAACGGCTATTTTCTCTACTCTGATGCCCAATTTCGACCTCAGGGTCAAAACATAAGATGCATTGGCAAAGTTGTGACTTTTTACAAAGTTTGTTGGCATGTGTACTGGCTGGAAAAAACAGTACTTTAATATGTAAACTTCACCGTTTCAGTTCAGGCTGTGATGATGATGATGATGGAGACACTGTCGGAAATTATATAGCCTCATCACCAATGCAAGGCCTGACTATCACATCATCAACACCAGTCATTGCAGGACCATCATCGACCAGCAGGGTTAGTAGTTCAGCTGCTTTACACAAGGCAAAATATGGAGATGACGATGAACCAACGGCTGGTAGTGAAGAGCCCAAACGGCAGCGGCTTCAACGACCCACCGTTGGGAGATCAAGACACAGAGAGGATTCACTACCAAATAGTCCAGACACAAGACCACAGCAAGAGCAATCTGAAGTAACAAGTCTTCTTCAGCAGTTGTTGGATGTTGAGAGAGAACATTTGGAGATAGAAAAGCAACGCCTTGAATTCGATAGGAAGGTCGGATGTCAGCTCATGGCACTTATTCCAATAGTGGGAAGTGTACTCCAGAATCAGTTCCTTCTTCAACAACAGCAGCAACAACACCATCACAATCACCAGCAGCAACAACAACAACAACAAGAACAACAACAGCAACACCAGCAGCAGCAACATGAAGGTCAAGATACTGCAGAATCTCCAGAAAACAATAGCGAAAGAGATTCAGATCAGAATTCCTGTGATGAAGGCACTCAAAATAATGAGGTTCGTTCCTTGAGAGAGGAACTGTCAGCTGATTTGGGCTGTGGAATACTTCAGTCATTCACTAATTTTGGGTCCTAATTCTCCATAATTTTTAGTGAATATTGTAAACTGTATGTTAGAACAGGATTTCTTTTTGTAACAATTATAGTACAAAGCATCTGATGGAATTTAGAGGTACAAATGTTTTTCTTTTTCAAAACTGATAAAGGAATATCTTAATTGAAACGTGACATTGCTTTTAATATGTATTTTGTAGTGTGATATTCATAACATAACACATTCACTTAGTGAGAAATGAGATATGTAATTTTAACTATGTATTGCATATTATTGTAGCAGTATTTGGTACATCTTTACAGCACAGTGACCAGTTATTTATGTCAATTTTCTCTTGCATGATATTCTGTGTATTTATGTAACAGTGAAGTTACATGCAATATTTTTGCCTTATATTTAGATGAAGATTAATTTGATGACAAGTTAAGGATATTTTAGATTAGTTTGGTTTAGGTTAGATTTGTGTTAGATCTTGTAAGCTGTAATGCTGAAATACACAGGATAATGGATTGTGGTAATCCATCATCTAACCCTGCCCACTTTCTCTTATTGGTTATTTTACTGTACAGTCGGTATGTACATTATATAGCACTGAATGATACGGTAATTGATGAATTTTAAATCATTTGAAACGAAGTGGTCAGTATCCCAGAATTTGCCTGAAGCTACAGGAAAACCATAAAGGAAACTCAGTTAAGATATCCATTATCCTGTCTGAAATTCAAACCTAGCAGCTCCCAAAGGCAATTTTTGGCATTGCAGCTGTGTCAACCTGCTTGGTCCTGTCCGCTGTTCTTGCCAGTGGCCAATACTTGGAGAGAATACTACAAACCATCTAACGTGTTCCACTGTTTCCTCAGCATTCCATGCTGGGAGTGCCAAGAGCACAGTGTGCATCTGTCAAAGATGAATCTAAGGTGTTACTACTGCACCAACACACTTGGTTGTGCCAACTTGCCACCCATCAGCCTACACCAGGACAGGTCATCACTGACTGTCTAACTTGGCCCACTGTTCCCTTAATATCTTCTTCTGGGAGAACTGAAAGCAGGCTGCATTATTCATCATATCATCTGCAGGTGATGGCGACAGGACAGTTTCTAAAATGTTGGATCCTAACTCCACCTTCACATGGTTGAACATCCCAGAAGACTCAGTCATGTAACTAGAGCATCAATCCAGCAACAAGTTTGGCNTCCATTTCGTTCACAAAAGTCAATAAGCATTTGACCTCTGTGATTATATCAGAGAAGGTTAAATACATGGTCACTGTATTGTAAAGTTAGAGTAAAAGATATTTATAAGTCTCTTCTTTTTAAGATTTGCGGTAATAACATCGAGGCTTCCATATCTAGTTGGCCAGAAAGGAATTCTAGTCAATTTCAGACAGGAATGTACATTTAATTTGCATTTGATTTTATCCCAGTATTTTTTAAACTTTGTCATGTCATTTCTGTTCATTATTTCATGGTACACAAAGTAACTTCATGTGTTTATGTGCATGCATAAACAGTCTTCTTAACATTCTTTATGATTCATGATTTTCGTTTATATTATTTTTTGTAGTCCGAAATTAATTGCCGTGGGGATTCGTTGTGCTGACCACGCAACATCCTCTATCCGCAAAAGTTGGCACCAAACTTCGCTGACAAGTGGCGGTCACTTGGTCGGTATAGTTCGCTTGTGAACTAAAATCACAGATTTTTTTTTTGTTTTATTATTTTTTTAAGTGTTAATTGTAGTTCTTAAAAGTATTGAACTCAGTGGATGAAAAGGTAATAAGTAACAATGAAGCTTACTGTCCTCTGGTATGTGATGCCATTTAATTTTATAGTTACTAGCATTTTGGAGGAATCTTCTGCCTCCATCTTCAGGGTAGAGGAGTAAGCTGTGTGGTAAGAAATAATGACATAGGAAGGGAGGACACAGACTGAAGCTAAGAGCAAACCAGTGGGGGCAATGTATTATGATTAAGATCTTGTAATTCTGAGAAGGGTTGTACTTTTAGATGGGAAGAGCCTAACAGCAATCCCATTCATTTTGCACTGCTCCCGTTGCGTCACTCTTCTCCCTCCCCCCATATATCATTGATAATTTTTTATAGGACAGTGTATTCTTCTTACCTGAAGATGGAGGAGGCGGTGATCTCCAAAATGTTTGTAGTAGTATGCCAAATTACATGTTGTTACTTCTCAGAAAACAGTGATCTTCAGAATGTCATGAGAATCTCGAATCTAATTTTGTTCACTCGTTTAGCAGATTTAGACGTGCAGGAGCACTCTGAGTCAGAAGCTACAGTGGGCATGTCTCTTCATCATGAACATTTAAGACACTCTTGGAAGAAATGCCTAAGAAGTATTCATACATATAGTAATTTATTTTGTAGTCTGTATTTGAGAGTTCAGAAACTATTTGTGGCTTGAGAAGTCTGGTTTGTTCATCCTTGGTGCAGACAGACATGAGCTGTGATGATATTTTGTATTTTATGAATATTTATGAACTGCTAATCAGTCATACGGTCTCTGAACAGGAAAATATTGGATTAAAATATAGAAGGAAACGAAATTAGTCTGTCACTATGTTTCTTGTTCTTTGGCTTTTTCATCTTTTGTCTGATGTCTACCTTAACTTTTGGAATTTAGGCACATTTTGTTTTGAACCTGTTCCACTGTTCTGGTATACATTTCAGTCATTCAGAAAAATGAACATGGTGTCTGCAGTATACACCAAAATGTTTACAGTCTTCAGGCATGCAACTCTATGCAGTTTGGTATGTTGGTATGAATGTTTTGGAGAAACATGTGAGTGTGGCATCTGTCTTAAGGGTCTGGTATAATTGCATCAAGGTGTATGCCAGAGGCCCCCAGTTCCTCCAGAATGTTGGTACCAAACTACCTTCTTAAATGGTATCACAGTCCTTACACTCAACACAGCAAGAACCTCAATCTCTCTCTACTGTCTGCACTTTTAGGATGTCATGTAACAACACAGTTTTACAGTTTAGTGTGAGAATGAAAGCTTTAGATATTCCACATACAAAGAAACTGCCCAAGGAACCTGTATAGGAAGGAATTTATACCTCAATGCTCTTTTCATAATGTAAATTGCTTTGTGAAGAAAAGACGAGATTAACACAGTTTTAATGCCGCCTGCAATGAAATTTGTGGGGACAGTGTGCTGTACCCATGCAAGATGATAAAGCAGTGAAGAAAATAACAGATTGCACCAACAGCAAATTTCATACAATTTTATAGAAAGCATTTTAAACAAGATTTTGAAAGAATAACTTCTAATTGGACCTTTCCTCCAAATTAAATTTTAAAATATCAAACCCAGAGAAGTAAAGGCTTCAAGAAAAATGGGGTGATAAAGAATTTGTTTTATAAATACAGTGAAACTAGTTGAATATTTCTTTGGGAGTTGTAAATTTGAACATTGGACTGAGGAAAATTTAAAGTAGAGATATTTCAACACTCAGCATTTGTAGCTAACAAGTATCTACCAAAAACAGATTGCTAGGCTGGAGGGGATTATGAGTACACGTTCCATATCCAATGGTCATGTACCCCGAATGGATTGATGAATACTAATAAATACAATACAATACTTTAGGAAGTGTAATAATTCAGTTTGATTTTGATCCATGAGACTTCTTTCTGTGGCTTCAGTATAGTGCATTCATAATTATGGCCAGTTTTACCTCTTAGGTTATCCATAGCATAGTTCTAGCTTTGAGAACTGGAATTTGGTTCTTGGCGTAGGGGTTTTTTTCTTTTTTTGTCTGGGGGGCTGTGTGTCTAGAACAACTGTAGGGTCCACCCAGTCTTCTGGGGACATTTTATTGGTAAAATTCCTGGACCATAAAGGTGACCACATATCCATTTATTGGAAATGCATAGAATTTCTAGAGTTAACCTTCACAGAAAATTGGACACTGAAGAATCTGTACCAAGTGGTATAAAAGTTGCAGACTTCAAGTTGTGAGAACACTAGAAATTGATGGCAGTGTTGTACAATGATTATGTGTATGTAATGGAGTATGTAAATTGCAGTTAAGTCATTTGAATACTGTGTTCATAGATTAGATGAGAGACAAGAACACTTTATTATTGAAGTGTTCAGAAATATTCTTTATGCATTTTTATCTTTTTAATACTATATTAGATGTGCTTTATCATGACTGACAAGAATCAGAAAGATTGTGATAAGAAGCTAAATGAAGAAAAAAGATTGTATGCTTTGTATGTTTGTCAACAGCAAATAGGAACATGAACACTGTAAGGAATATATATTTCTGATATTATTAAAAGAAACTGCTATTGAACTTAATTTGATATCTGTGGTCAATGTTGCCTGAGAGGCATAAACAATTTACAGTATTGGCATGAGGGTGTTACCACATTGTACATTTTTTCTGTTCAAGGCATTGCATTTCAAATGAGTTGTATTCTTCCTGCTAGGTCTAAACTCATGTTCAGTACAAGTTTCTAGGGTACTATAAAGCCAAGTACTGATTGTCCCTGGCTGGCAGGGTGCTGTTTTCTTGATGAGCATTTGGGAATAGCTGCAGGCAGCAAATGCAGAAAGGAAGAAGTGTACGGTCAGGAAGTCATATGCTGGTTCACTTGTACTTTTGTAGAACATATTAAGCAGGGGTGACATATTTTATATCCAGACCTACATGGAAGGATTGGATCAATGAAATGAAAATAAATGTAAATGTAAAATGGGTCATGAAATGTGGTTTGCAGTGACTGGTGACTAATTCCCCAATTGGCATTTGAAATTATATTGGAATTCTGGCATTGTCACTTAAGTCACTTATGGCACAGAGGAAATGGCAAATCATGCCCAAAGAAGCTGAGCTCCATAAATTTGTAAGTCGCAACAATAATAATCTTTTAAATTTGATATATTTTGCCATTACCTTATGCATGGTCCATGTGTATTTAGGACCAATTATACAACAGCAGAAGTTAAGTATGTGCTGAAAGGAGGTGACAGAAAATATTAAGCCACCCTTTTCTGATGACTTAAATAACTTGTCTGGCCAACTGATTTGCAAACACATTTTGACCCTTATTAACAATTATAAACACAAGAAAGAACTTTATTTAAAAAAAAAGAGTATTACAGTTTCTTTGAAGTATTATACTTAACAAGACTACACAGCAAATTGAAATCATTAAACACTCGCAGGTTTTCACATGGTCACAAGCAAAATAAGAATTTGTTTCCCGAGCTTCCCACATGCTGGAAGATATAGTGTTATTTACATTACACTAAACAGGATTATAATACAGTCTACTTTGTTTGAGACAATCTCTTACCCTGCATGCATACCTGCTTTGTACAGATCTAGTCAGAATCTTGGCACTGAGAATTTTGAGATGTGTCTGAGTTATTACATAGAGCTGATTGTGAAATTAGAAGTTTGGATATCACATTACGCAAATAGTAGCGTCTTTTTTTAAGTCGTAATAGTCTTCTTGTCATCGCTTGGCTGTTTTGATGATAGAGCCAAAAGAGTGATAGAAATGATATTAAAACAATACATTCCTCATCTCTGAGTTTCATTTCTCTTCAGTACAATTAATTGTTCAGTTTAATCATAGTTCATGTTATTCCTCCTTTCCAGATCCCTGATTTCAATTATGTCCGTCTTCAACCGCAATTTCATTATTTCCCTCAAGATTTCTTGCCTGTGTTCAGCGTTGTCAATCCCAAGCCTCAGGAGAGTGGTTTCATTGATACGTACAAGAGATCGGCCTGTAATGTCATGCTGTAAGGTAATGGTACAAAGTTTTTTAAACTGCTTAAAAAGTACTGTCTTTAATGAAATAAGGTACTACAAATTTGTGTATTACATTCATTTTGCAATCTCTTTGTTGTGGCATGGCAGTCTGGTAGGTCACTGAAATTCTTAATGCTAACGTAAAGCATCCATTTTCAGAGATTAGAAGAGATACAGCCCACAGTGGCCAACAGAAACCGTAAGCCCTGAAACGGGTAATTAGTACAGGACAAGATGAAGGACCATGCACAGAAGAAATCACAACTTTCTTTTTCCTCCCCTTTCATAAAACCAGCCTCTTTCCGACATTAACTCTGCGGGGGGGGGGGGGGGACCGCTCCCTCTCCCCAGTCTTCACTTGATAGAAAAT